AGTAGGGATCTCCTCCCATACATTGGCCACCAGCCTATAAATGAGTATATCATCAGCTATACCTCAAGCCCTGTGCCCATCACATTTTCATTTTAGTCAAAGGGATTTCAAGAGGGGCACCATGTTTGACCAACTAGGTGAAGGACCCTGTTATGGTTTATATCTAGATATCCCCCAAAGCCTCATGCACTCATAGGCGGGGCTTTTGGGCTGTGACTGGATCATGGGGGCACGATAGTCATCAGTGGATGAGTTTATAGCTAAGTGTGATGTTGGGAGGTGAAGCCTGATCAGAGGAAGTGGTTACTGCTGGCGTGACCTGGAAGAGTCTTGTCCCTCCCTCCTTCCTTGATCTCTCTCTTTCTCTCTGCTTCCTTCTGCTATGCCATGAGCAGTTTCTCCTCTGCCATGCTGCCCAGCCTTGGAGCCAGCCGACTGTAGACTGAAACCTCTACAAACTGTGAACCACATAAACCTCTGCTTTAAGCTGTGGGCATCAGGTAATGTCTCAGTGATGAGAAAGTAACTAAGTCAGACCATTCCTATGAAGGGCCAGAAGAGGGGGAAGCCTAGTCATAGCTCTGTTGTTTATGTATAATACTAAGAAATATAACGTAAAAGTGAATAGAAACAAAAAAAATTAGTTTACTTATAAACTATGTTCACATAAAATCTGAACAGCTCCCAATAATATCTGTTGTGGGTTGAATTTTATTCTCCAGAAAGACATGCTCCAGTCCTAGGCCCCAGTACCTGTGACTGAAATCATTTGGAAATACGGTCTTCAGAGATGTTCTTGGGTTAGGATGATGCCATACTAGATTAGGGTATGAATCCAATAACTGGTGACTTTATAAGAGGGAAATATGGACAGAGGGAAGAAGGCCACATGATGACGGAAGCAAAGACTGAATTGATGCTGCCACCAGAAAAGGAATGCCAAGGGCTGTGGGAGATCCAACACTGGGGGAGGCAAGGAAGGATCCTGCCTTCCGCCTTCAGAGGGAGGACATCTCTGCCCATGCCAAGCCCTAATGTTGGGCGTTTGGTCTTCAAAACAGCAAGACAGTAAATTTCTTTGAGATTTTCTTGTATTTAAAATTTCTATATAATTAATACATAATATACATGTTTTAGGCTACAGAATAATGTTTCCATGCATGTATGCAAGGGACAATGAGAAAATCAAGGTAAATGGCATATCCATCACTTCAAATATTTATCATTTCTTTGCAGTGATAGCTTTTTTTTTTTTGGTACTGGTGATCGAACTCAGGACCTTGTGCTTTTGAGGCAGGTGGCAGCAGCACTGAGCTAAATCCCCAGCCCCTGCAGTGACAGCTTTTGAGATTGTTTTTCATAGGAATTTCTCTTGTTTTAAGCCATCTAGTTTGTGGTGCTTTGTTACAGCAACCCCAGGACACTTAATACAACAGCAAAAATGTAACATCAGAATAAAGGGTGCTGAGGAATTGGTTGGAAGCGAGTAAGATCCTAGAAAAGTCAAAAGAAGATGAGAGATATGTAGACTTCAGCAGGGACCAGGCCTGGCAGGGGAGAGATGCCAGGTGAAGAAAAAGAATGAGAACATTGGCTCTGAGAGTGAGGGGGTGGACAAAGGGTGATGTGCAGTGTCAGACTCATCACCAAGGAGTTAATTGTCCCTTCCAGGTGTCAAGTGGACATTTCTCAGGAAAATCCATAAAGCTCAAATTTGTCAGTTTGTCACCAGTATCTAAGCACCACCACAATCAGTTTCCTGTCTCTAGTTTGACATTTTCCTTGACTATGTTTCATCATTTTAATTTAGACAGCAGCCACGCGAGGGAAGGATCTGTCGGCCTCTCTGTCTGTCTCTATATATAGTGCTCTCTCTACCATTTCGAAGGTGCTAAGACTCCACTGATTGATGACGATGTAGCTAAAATGGTCACATTCTGAACTCAAACAAGGAAGGCATTTTATTCCACATGTAAAAACTTAGAAGAGGAAAGAGGATCTCTTGCTGTTTCTAATAGTGATCTGGCTCCATGCAGCCCAGTGAAATATGCATCTGTAATGGCAAAATTCCTCACTGGAAAGACCCTAAGTGACAACCCTAGGAGCTTTCTGAACAGTAATTAGGGGGATATATTATTGCTAATCCTGAACACACTAGGAGCCGGGTTAATTTTGAAAGAAAAAATAAAAGTGCTGCCTTGTGGCAAAAGGTCACTTCTTGGTGCCATTAAATCAAGCACAGCCTTGTGTAGGACAAGGGTATTGACGCTGAAGATGTCTGTACTCCCCTCACCCACACGTTTAAGGAAGGTACTGTGGAACAGCCAAAGGAAGCACTGATGTGCAAATACCATTTAGCAAGTACAGATAGCTGGGCTAAGTCATGCTCAGAGCCTTTAAAAAAGATTCAAATTTTAATACATTAGCACTAGAACATGCTGTACAAGCAAAGGGAAAATTGCAGATGTCAACGTGTGAATTTAGTCTCAGGGTACGTTCATACAAGGAAGTAAAACTTCAATTTAGATTTTTTTTCCCCAGCCAACTCTCCCTGCCCCTGATATCCACGTGTTCCTTGTAGACTCGGGGAAGAGATGTTACTTGGTAAGTGTATTTCACTCCAAGAAGAGGGTAGGGGAAAATATGGAAGTACTCACCAGAATGTCTGAAGTGGTCTTTCAAGGGGCCAAGTCACAAAAGATAAGCAAGGTGTCCTCGTGTCCAAGCATGTATTTGTGCACCTGAACAAGTGTGCATGCACATGCACACTCATAAGCACATGTCTTTTCACACGAGGAAGCATTCCAAGGTGAATCTACAAGGGATTTTCTGCCATTTTCTGTTGGATTTCTCAGAAAGTCTACTTGCTTACCATTGCAGGTGAAGAGAAGTTGTCTGCAGCCTTTTGGGATAAGCAAGAGGGGAAAGCCCAATGGCTTGGGCTCCCCAAGCCAGGCCGGGTGGGATAAGCAGCCCCAGGTCTATCAGGGGGCTAGAGAGCGATCACAGGGCTGGAAAAGCCATGGCCCACTCTGCTGATTTGACACTAAGCTGTATTCCAGTTGGGGTTTGACAGACTGTTTTTTATATCAAAGCAACAAATGGACTTTCATTGTGGAACACATCTGGTCTCTTAGCCCATTCTATCAGAAGCAGCTATTTTTTAAAAATTGAAAGTCAAGGCAGATTATTTTTCTAAAACTGTACTATCACTTCATTTGCCTCAATGGAAATGTTCACTTGTTCTACACAAGTTATCTTACCCTGAAACAGAGGTGAGATGAGGGAGACCCTCCCTGAAGACACCTTTCAAGTGATGTATCTACATAAATGTTTGCCCCAAAGAGCATGTTGATCAGTTATTTATAAAGATTGAATATATATATAGAGAGAGAAAACTTATCTACAGGAAAAGCCCAGCTACCCCTCCAGTTAGGGACCCTGAACCAGAATAAATCTCTTCAATGACATACTCTCATTGTTCAGTGATCTTATCTCTCCTTACATGCCCTATTTGAAAATAACTCTATTATATTTATACACATACAACTGATTATATATATTACATGTCATATATCTATATATTCATGTGCCATTTAATAATGGGGATATATTGTGAGAAATTCATCTTTAGATGATTTAGTTGTTATGTGAACATTATAGAATGCACTTAAACAAGCCAGAGTGCCTTTAATGTCACTAGACGATAAGATTTTTGTTTTTTATTAGCACATGTTTGCTGCATATAATGATCACATTCATCATGAGAATTTGGTAAATGTACATAACACATCTTAAATTTTTTACATCTCATTGCCCTCCATTTCCCCCTCCCTCTATCTCTAGTTCTCTTTCCCATTTTCAGAGGATCCATCTCCCTATTTCATAATATCTATCTTTTATCTTGCTCTTTAAATTATTTATACTTTGGGTTTCTCCTACCAGTTGTACATATGGTCTGTCATTGACCCAAGATATCATTATGTACCCCATTATGACTGTTTATGCATTTATAGCTATATCTATATCTATTTTATGTGAGTATCCATTTACAGTGTTAGGATGAGATCATCATATCACTGATCCTATTGTCTAAGTTAGCACTTAGATAGTACACATTCACATTTTTCTGCATTCATCTAAGCAAAAATTCATTATAACTTCAAAAAGTATTTCTAACTGGACAGAATTTGAATTGTCAATAAATATGTAATATTATTCTAGTTAAATTAGAAACAATATTATCAAGGACAGGTCATGTTAATTGTACCTGTGTTACTATTAAGATTCTGAGAGCATCAACAATAAAATCATTCTCAAAGTTAAAACCTTTCACATTCACTTCCCTGTCTATTTTCTCTCTCCTCTCTCTTTTTTTTTTAGAATAGGAAAATTTATTGAGAGAAAGAAAGCTTCTGTCTAAGAGAGACAGAAGGGGGATCAGAAAGTGCGTTGCCCCCAATTTTCTCCTCCTTATCAAGTGCTAATTTTTTTAATCAAGTACAGAGGATCACATTTAGTTTATTAATGGAAAGAAGCTACCCTTTTTGTTACCTCATAGATGCTAATCATGTATAAATTCCAAAAGAAACAACCAATGCATTTTCCCGGTTCAGAATTAAAGGAGGCCCCAGGTAAGCTGAGCCTAGGAACACACTCAATAGTTTTATGATTACAAATCCCTTAACTATAAATTTTAATAAAAATATGATTAAAAATGTAGAAATCACACTATGATTTTATAGAACATCAATTTAATTATTCAATGATTATAAATGAACCATTAGTAATTTATTCTTCTAAATGACTTATCCTTTCCAATTATTTCATCTGTTTTCTATATTAAAAAATCAAAGAAATTCAAGATATGGAAAGGACATGCTGGTTGAGGATCTGAAACTGATTTGGTAGCTTTGGAGTTGACATAATCTTGGCCTGGTACAGCTCATTTTGGAAAGCTGCCTCAAATTTCCCCTGGTTTTGAACTTTTTTTTCCTTACCACTTTCATCTAGCAAGAAATCATCCTGGTAACGGAACTTCTCCGGTCCACATGCAATAAAAATGTCATCGTCACCAAAAAAGTCCTGAAGGCACATCACCTACAAGAGAAAAGCATGGTACTCAGCGAAGGGCTGGCAGAACAGCAATTACAACAATGCATCCCAGCAAGTAGACATCTGCATAAAGCCACTTCCCCTCTAATGGAATCAACAGGGCAGCTTCTCCAGGGGAATTTCAAAGGAAGGGCTTAAGCATCTGTTCCTAGTAAGAAACATGTTATGTCTCAGTTCTGCAGGAAGACGGGATAGGGCAAATAGAACCGGTAACTGTCACATTTATTACTTGATACATCAATAGGCTATGAGGTAAGAGCCCTTTGTTTCCATAATAAAATAGATGCAGCAACATGTGGGAAAGGAGCTCCCCCTCACGTTTCTGAATGTAAATCTCCATGATAGCAACAAAAGTCAGCATATACTTTTATGTCTTCTAGTAACTGATGCCATTGTATGCACGTGATGATCATTGAAGAAAAGATATATATTGTAATTATGAACACAATAATCTCCTTTAGACCCATTCCACTTCTAAGAGAAAGAAAAGTGGAATCTCTTATAAAAGCAGTCATTTAAAAATTAAGTTAATTCTGAGGTTAAATATACAGACTAAAGTACCTATATATCCACCACTCAAGTGATGCTAAACACTAAAATGTCCAGACCTTTCAACTTCTTGTTATCATGAAAAGTTTTAATGCAACCTTTTGATATTTTTCCACTCGTTCTCCAATAAGAACTTTAAGAGAAGAAAATGTACCAAATGTACATTTTCTTGCAAGAAAATGTAGCCAAAATGAATAATTTTTGAGCATTTCACTATCTGGAGAGAACTGTAAGGCTTTGTTCATAATATGTGTAATACCAACAATGGGAACACTGCAGATTTCTATTTATTTTCAATTTCCTTTAACTACTTGGGTAAATCATAAAGCGGCCAGTGAAGGCACCCATTCAGAGTTCTAGGAAAAGACTTTGGAATAGCATTTCCTCATGGCTAATGGAGTACCAGCGACAAACCCTTCTGGAATGTTAGTCTCTTTACCTGTGTTTATCATTAGCATCTCTCATATTTGTCTGTAATTCCACCTATGGACACCTCTGAAATCCTTTACCTTTGTCAACCCCTGGCAATACTACCTTGATATATCACATGTGTAGTAAGTTGAGAAAGTAGTAAATCAGAAGAACATGACATTATTTGGAGATCTAAACACAGTGATGTGGGGCCAGGGATTTAGCTCAGTGGTTCTGCCGCCTGCCTTGCAAGTGCAAGGACCCGAGTTCCACCCCTGGCACCAAAAAAAAAAAAAAAAAAAGAAAATACTATGATGTTTGGGCTTCAGATTGTGTTTTGAAACAACTTTTGACTTTCAAATAATCACCTGGCTAAAGTTTTAAAAAGGAAATTTCTATAAACAGTTTGATAATTGACATTAATTATGAATAAAGGCATCCGTGGTTGTCACTTCTTATTTTGTCCAGGAAAGCTCGAAGGTACAGGTGGTATCAAGGGAATACTGTAATCCCTGAGGAACAGGGGCCAAGAGCTTAAGCGTGGTGTCAGAAGACATAATCTTCAACCTAGCTTAAATGGAGGCCCTTTGGATTCAAAACCTGCTCTCTGTGTCATTCCTCTCCCTCACTCCAACCCTGACCTCACTCGTCTTTACCTTCATGACACCCCAGCTTTTTCTAGCAGCATTGGTGTCATTCCAAACTAACTCATACAGGCCATTTTCACCTTACACGTGGAAGTCCTCACTGAATGCCTCCTAGATCCCAGAGAACATACAGCACTGACATACAAAAATGAGACATGATCTCTTCCTCAGGCAAAAATCTGACAATGAGCCCCAAAGGACAATATGTCTTAAAGTGTGGATTGCTAATATGTTTGTGCAAAAAGGAGGTCTAAGATGAAACAAAATGTCAAGCTTATCCAATGGGTTTCTTTGTATCTGAACTTTGAAAAACCTGTAATTGCTAATGTGTGCCATAACTCCAAAGAGGAGACAGGAAAATCCAGAATGATTTTTTCTCACACTCCATCATACAGACTCGTGTCTTACAGAGTTCCCTTTAGAGAAAAGAATGCAGGGAACACAAAGGAAAAACCATTACCCACACTCTTCCCAGGCAAATGTGCTTGCTTCTCCACCAATCAATATTTATTTGCTAATTCATCTACTCACTCAAACTTTTACTCTGTGCCTGCTTTATGCCAAACATCATGACAAATATCTGATAGGTGAAAATACTATTGTCTAAGAAAATGATCTTTTCGTTCTGCACATTCTCCCCATTTGCATTTTAGACCAACAGGTTCTAACTAGACCACATTTATCTATAACGTGTACTTATAATGTTATTGCTCAGTGGGTAAATAACTGTCAGAGCCACAATATGTCATAAGCAGGTTGCCAGCCAACTCATTCCCATCATTTTACTGATGACCAGGTATCAAGTCTGAGGCCTAAAGAAGAGAAAAGATTACAACCCATCTTGGATAGTTTAGGCATAATTCTGTTGGCAAGTGGGAAATGAAACATGATGAACTTTTGATGTTCTTTCCAACACCAGGATTCCAAGAATATGAAAAGAACACAGTGATAGTTAGGGAAAAGTAACTGTCATCACTCAGCACAGAGAGACAGGCAAGAGTCATTTGGTGCTGAGCAATGTGTACTCATTTACCTCCCAAGCTTCACTGACAAAAAGCAAAGAATCTGTTGAACTATCAGAAACTCTGATGTTTCCTGTCCCTTCTGCTTTGCATCATTTTGCCTTTTCCCTGCTCACAACTTCCCACTAGAAAAGGTGGGTAAGGTCAGTAGACCAAATTCAAATATAGAACTGTTCACTGGGAAAAGAAGGCTTTGAAAAAGAGTTGAGATCAAGGGATGCTTAGACACAAAGATGGATTTAGGATAATTGGTACACTCCAATTATCCATGCTCTCACATTCAGTCATTGATCTGGAGGTGGCTGTAACACATTCCATCTAACAGAAAAGAATAACAGAATGAGACTTATAACCCCTTTCTCTAGGCAAATCAACTGTGAGAATTCTTGAGGCATTACTGTATGTTCTGATACCAAGTTATTATAAAAGTAGAGAAATGTAAATCCTGTGCTTTGCGTAATAACTCAATTTTATATATCTGTATAGTGTTACTCCTTCTAAAAGCTGATGTACTAAAAATTCAGCATGGTTACCAGCTTACAAAATAAGTTCCATTTACGGATGAAAAACATGCTTCTTACTACAGGAGGACAGTGATGGTGACTTCTTCTGCTGTGGAATCTGCTCAACAGGTATCAGATGTGGGAAGAATTCATCAAGATTAGATTCAGGGTGGATGCAAAGGTAGAGATATCAAGTTTGAGAAAAGAGAATAAAAGATCACTTTCCCATTTCACCATCATCTTCCTGCCCCCAAGAAGACCTGGTATCATTCATGGCTGCTCTTCCTTGCTGTCTCACTATGGTCACAAGTTGCCCCCTGGAACATTTTCAAAAAACAGGCCTTTCCCACCCTTCTCCCTGTTACCCTCGCCATCACATCAGTTTCATCCTCCTCCCTGTGGACCTTGGCATTCCCCTTTAATGCATTTTCTCACTCCACCTCCATCCTCTCCAATTCATTCTGTTAGTCTATTATTCCTTTGTAAACTTTCAAAATCCAATTCTGTGGCTCTGACAACCACGAATGTCTTCCAATCATCAAGTTAAAGCTCATCTTTCTGAGTTTAGCACTCCAGATGCCTCATAACCTGGCTACTTTTCATCATTCCAGTTGTTTTAGTTGTGATATAGCACCTGACATGTAGTGAGCATTTGTTGGAAGGAAGGAAGGAAGGAAGGAGGGAAGGAGGGAAGGAGGGAAGGAGGGAAGGAGGGAAGGAAGGAGGGAAGGAGGGAAGGAGTGAAGGGAGGAAGGGAGGAAGGAAGGAAGGAAGGATGGATGAATGGATAGGTAGATGGAGCATTCTAAAGTGAAATATGTTCTCATTTATCTGCTTTATTCTTCTCTAAAAAGGGGCTTAATCATTCCTATTTGTGTAGGGAATTTCTGTATGAAAATCTCTTCTGTTTTCTATTTGTTCCTACTACTCTTTGCCTATTTAAATCCCTCTGATGGTCTAAAGTACAGTTGCAAATTCAAGTCCTATCTTTACCACCCACTCCAATCCCATAAGACTCATCAACTGATCTGAAGCTCTAGTCATCATTAAATAAGCATTTATTGAGCACCTGTTATTTGTCAGCCCATGCTAGACTTTCAGAACACAACTTTCCTTCATTTAGAACTAAGTATTTACTTCTTTTCCAGTACATACATCTACAGTCTTAGAAACTCAAGAATGCCTCTAGTACTACTGCCAATCAGTAACTCAGTGGTGAGTCACTTGAATCACCTTCCACTGGTTCTGTCAAAGGCTATGATCTGAATTCCAGCCCTTGCTCTGCCACTTTCATTGATTTGGGCAAGTCAGAAAACTGAAGTCAGGTACCTTAAAATGAGTTCCTCCTCCTAAAAACCCCACTTACACCCAGGACAGAGGAAGTGCTTCCTGTTGGGTGCCATTCTTTGGCATTAAAGTGAGTCTGCTCTGGGGCTGCTCCCTAGAAACAGGAAATTGTCCACAGAGCCTGGATTCTGAGCAAACTCAGCTCTGGAACTTAGATGTTCACATCTGTGCCTAAGTGTATCATATCAATTGTTCTAAGGACAGATGACTTACGGTCACAAATAGGAAGTTCTCAATAAATTTTAACTATTTTATTAACTAAATTTATTTTACTTCAAAGTAAGTATAAATCAAATGTATACTTAATAGAAAATGATTTTAAAAATTAAAAACACAGTATGTAGCTCCTGGACATTATTCTATCAGGCTTCTTTTCTAAGCAGAAATGGACAAAATGAAACAAATGAGTTTCTCTTATTTCATTGGGAATTATTATTCTATAGGTATTATTATTCTGATAAAAATCATACTTTGGATTAGTATCAGGGAATTTGTGCAAAGCTGGT